GTAGTTGACCGGTTTTCCAAAATGGCACACTTCATTCCATGTTCTAAAACATCTGATGCCTCTCATATTGCGAAGTTATACTTCAATGAGGTCGTCCGTTTGCATATTTTACCCAAAACCATTGTTTCTGATAGGGATGTGAAATTCACTAGCTATTTTTGGAAAACCCTATGGATGAAAATGGGCACCAAACTTCACTTTTCCACTGCCTTTCACCCACAGACGAATGGTCAGACCGAGGTAGTTAATAGGAGTGGGTAATTTATTGCAGTCCCTGGTTGGTGAGCACATTAGAGATTGGGATTCCATTCTACCTACTGCTGAGTTTGCTTATAATAATTCCATTAACCGAACCACGGGTCTAAGTCCTTCTGAAATTGTATACGGGTTCAAACCTAGACAGCCGTTAGATCTGATACCCATGAGTTCTAGGTATAGGATTTCTGAGTCTGCATCAGCATTTGCATCTCATTTGCATGAAATTCATAAGGATATTGCACAACAAATTGAAAAGAATAATCATGAATATAAATTACATGCAGATTTAAAACGTCGATTTAAAACCTTTGAGGTTGGTGACTCTGTAATGGTGCGGATTCGTCCAGAACGGTTCCCTCCAGGAACAGTTAAGAATTTGCATGCAAATAGTGCTGGACCTTTCAAAATACTTAAGAAAATTAACGACAATGCTTATGTAGTAGATCTGCCTGCATAATTCAATATAAATCCCTCTTTTAACATAGAAGACTTAGTGGCATATGAAGGTCCTGATTTTAACCCACAAAATCCACTATCAAAGCAGCCTGGTGTGAACCCACCTTGTGAGATCCCGAACCTACCTCCACTACCAGATATTCCCAAATTTCCCATAGCAGAGCAAGTGGAGGCAGTCTTAAGTGATGAGATCATATCCACAAGAGGATGAGGATGAAGAAGGTATTTGATCAGGTGGAAAGGAAAGCCCGAGTTAGAAGATACGAGGCTAGATCGCGAGGAGTTGCAGTAGATTGACCCGGATGCACTAAAGATCTACAAAAGCGCCAGAGATACTTACTCGGCAGAGTCGAGTTTTCTCCCACCCAGGGAGAATGATGGGGACATCAGATCATGGAAGGTTTATCAGAGACGTGGCCGCCGATCTACGGCCACGATCGAGTATTTATATTTCTGAGTCATTGATGTATTTTATTATTCATGTACTATCTTATTTTCTTAGGTTTCTTTTTGTTATTTCCCTTTGTACCCCTCTTATAGAAATTATCGTATGTAAGCCCAAAGGGCAATTGAGTCTTTTATTTCTTGAGTCCATTGAACTTGGTTATATATAGCCCTTTGCTTATTGTTTCATGGTTAATGAATAGTTGCTTATTGAAATTTCCTCTTGCATGAGTATTGAGAGAGCCTGAGAGTTCTAATGGAGAGAGTTCCCTATGAGAGGGAGATTAGCGCAATACCCACCAACCTAGATAAGTCGGGTTCGTGGTTTCTTTCATTTATTGTATTTCTTTTCCTCCTTTGTTTCCTCCTCCTCCTCCCCATCTTCGTCTGGCCGCCGGATTCTAATCTCACCCGAAACCCCTCTTTTTCCTCCCCGCCCAACACCCACGGCCAACACCCAACCTGACCCCTCCACACCGCCGGCCCAATACTCTAGCCGCCGGACACCGTTCACCTCTTCATCCCCACTAAAACCCTTGCCTAATTTGGATGGATTAATTTTGGGCTGGTTTTTCAAAATTCAAATTCACTCATTTGAAATTTGAAAACTTTCCTAAAATACAATTCTATTTTGGAAAGTTTTTAAATCAATTCTTTTGAATTTCAAATTCAATTGGATTTGGTTAATTACCTTCTTAATCCTAAATCTAATTTATGCAAGCATGACACCTCACCCCAAATTCCCTCTTGCCCATTAATGCCGCTGGCCCCCCCTTCCTGGGCTTGGAATTATAATTATTTCCTTAAGCCAAGCCCCTCTTTTGGAAATATTTCAAACTCCCCAAATCTCCTCTTGACCGAAATTTTCCCAAGTCCCAAGCTCTAATTTATTTCCTAAACCAGAAATTGGAATTTGGAAATAAAATTCCCCACCTCTTTCTCAATCCCGCCAGCCTCCTCTCTCCCACCCGTCTCTCTCCTCTCTCTCACATATCTCCTCTCTTACCTCAAATTCCCTAGTGAATTTGAGCCCACAACTCTTACTCCTCCTAGTGCTTTTCCTCTGCTTAATGATCGCTGAAATTCCTCACAGGTTTTGTGAAAAAAAATCTGAAATATTTCAGATTTCCTGAGAGGAATTGTTTCAGATTATTGGGAGGATCTTGGAGTTCGTTTTTGCCGCTGTTCAAAGGTTGTATCGAGTGCTAGAAGGATTTTACCTTCACTCATCCATGAATGGAGGATCCGGAGACTGAGTATGGGATAACTTGGGACGACAACGGCTTCACCGACATCCTACGATCCACCTTCGACGTGAATAATCTGGAGATTGACATTACTGTTGAAAACTACGTGGAGCGCATCCTATTCGCCTTGACGGAAGCCATTGACGAACACTTTGAAGGCATCGAGTGGAGGATCTCCACCTCTCCCTAACGAAGGTTTCTCTTTTCCCTTGCGTCTTAATCCTTTTAGGCTAAACTCTTGTTGGTTTGATTGTAGTCACGACGGACCCTTCCAATTGCTCTTGCTTAAGCTTAGTAATCGTAGGATTTGAGCGCACCTCGATGCATCCTAATTCTCATTGTTAGATTAGGGATTAAATTGAAAACTACTTCTACGCATTGTGTTAATTTTTCTATTTATTTTGGAAGTTTCAAAATTCATAGCATGTGATTTAAACCTAAGCGGATAACTCCTAATCGTTTTGAATCGTTGTTTGTAATTTCGTTCTTGAATTATTCAAATCACAAGTTGTGCGAAATGCTTTTGAGTTAAATTGCATTTCATTTACATTTTCCGGCATCATGCTCATAACAGTTGAAGCCAAAAGAAGAAGGCGACGTTCTCTCATCTCCTCTTCAATGTCGAATGGCCGATCCCGATGTTGATAGCGGATTCGTACTCGACGCCTACGGAGACATCCACATCGTTCGATCACCATTCTTCGACGTCGGGTTTGGTTCTAACAACACTGTTGAAGATTACTTAAACCGAATCCTCCCCACTCTTGTGGACACATCGACGATCAATTATCGAATTACAAGTGGACCATCAACGGCCATCCATCCGTGCCACCTCCACCACCGTCGACCTTTCCGTGGATCAAGACTCTTGGTGTTGCGACCACCCTCTTGGCATCGTTGGGTGTGCTGAAGTCCTTCTCCCGCTAAAGCCTAGTGTAGCCGAGTAATCAATCCCCGAGGTGAAAACTTTCATTATTAAATCGTGAATTGTTTATTAAGAGCTTTTAGTATTGATAATATCTTTGTTTATCTATGAGATTTGGTTAATCTACATGTACTCCTTCGCCTAAGCAAGTGGAAAACTAAGATTCTTTAAAGAATTTGCTTGTCATCACAATAAGTTATTGATTTGGATTACATTGCCATTTACTCTGAAATTCTTAATAAGCTCCTGCGCATTTGGTTTCACATCAATTAGAGAGTTGAGTGAGGGATATCTCTCAGTGATTAATCTTATTATTAGCATAGGGATTTATTGTTGAAAACCAATCATGTATGCAACGTTAGATTAAATTGATTATGTTATGATCTTCACTTCTATGCAAGTGATTTAGTCTAAGCTTGTCTTACCACCCTTGTATTTTATTTTGTCGTTCAAAATCACTCTAAGGATATAGTTATTGTGCTCTAAAATTAAGCGTGCAAATTCATTAAGTAACTCATCTTCGCATGTACGTTCTACATCACTAGTTCTTGTTTTCCCACTTATGGATCCAGTATTTTACGAATAGTTCATCTTTGTGTTTTAATGAAGTTTTTTTTTTCTTATTGCATTTGAAAATAAGTGTAGCCATTCAACAGTTTTCAACGAATACTTTTCATGGTGTTTTTTTTTTCTTCAAAATTTGTAGGAGGTTAAAGATCAATAAATCTATCTAAGATTACTTGTTCAGTTGTTTTCAGTGTCATGTTTGAAACGTTGTAATCGTGCAAGACAGCCGATGGAGAGATTTTTGGAATTGAGTGTGTGCGGATAAAAATTTTTAGAAGTGTTTCCTGATTTAATGGGGTGATGTTGCAGCTTTCAAGGCACTTAATTATAATCTCAGGATTTCAACAAGTGCAGGAGTAAATTCACACTCATCCCAAAAAGAAACATCAACATCAAGCCTTTGACCAACTACATGGGTCGGCTACATGAATCCTTTTTCTCCATTGTCCTATTAAAAAGTCAAAATCTCGTCCCAAAAAGAAAGAAAAAAGTTTTTTTCTAAAGTTGATTTTGATAAAGTTTACAAGTGTTGTGACTGGAATTTCATTCTGCTCACCCTTGCTGATAGAAACTTTCCACCAAAATTGATTCATTGGACTAGGGAAACTCTAATATATGCTAATGCTTCTATCCATATAAATAGGTGGTTAGGAACTAAATTTAACTGTCATCAGGATCTACATCAATGTGATTCACTCAAAGCATTCCCCATTAATATCGTTTATTCTCTTAATCATCATTAAAATTAGTGGCACGCAAGACAAACAAAATTCTTAAGATCATTTGGCAATTCATCAATCCATCAAAAATTTCATAACGGATAACTCCAATTGCATGAAAACATAATAGTGATTTCAAAGCGTGAGGAGCTTCAAATTGCTAGAAATTAAATACATGGTTGTTGAAGATCCCTTGCATGTATTAAACTATTTTGATAAGTGAAATACATAGATAAACTAGATTTATATCTTCCAATGAAAAATTCATAACAGTAGCTATGTAGGTAAAGCTAGAATACAACAACAACGGGATTAAACTCGGTGATAAAGCAAGAATAACTAAAAAACGGTTAGTAAAAGATAATTGCTAATTCTTTTTAGTACTTGCTCAAAATCGTAGCACCAATTTGACAGATGTTGAGACTGACGGAGAATAAAAATTTCTCTCTTCTGCAGGAATCCTCAGTGAAAGAGCAAACAGGATTAAACTCGGTGGCCTCATAAATATCCTGCATTGGGAAACCAAGAATAAGAACTAAAGATGAAAAGATACTTACAAAAATACAAAATCTTGATTATATATGACCTTTATGATCTCATCAGAAACAACACCAGCAAATGAACTAGAGTCAGCTGTACCACCAGCTCCAAGCATCCCCAGTGACAGCCAATTCAACCATCCCCGAGCACTGCTAGATGACCTGTCATCATGTTGCTGCTTTTCATAAGAAGCAGAAGGTAGCCTCTCATCATTTGTTCCAGTAGTAGAAGTTTTCATCTTGGAAAGCTCCTTCAATTCATCAAGACAAATAAGCAAACATTACTGAAAAATAAAAGATTTCAAAATGACAAAAAACAACACCCTTCCTTCATATTAGCGCTTATATGGACGTTAGAATTTATGTGAGCAATTATGTGCCCGTGTCTGCATCCATGTGTGTTGTGCCGTCACATATACAACTTTAGGTGCATACACATGCTGGGAACAACTTTCAAATCTCACTTATCCATATGCTATAGGAGATATTGAAAATTTCATGGATTAAACATGCATTTTTCCCCCCGAAAAAAGAAAAATTTCTACTGCAATACCCATTTTCAACAAATAAGTTAAAATGTAGATCAATTAGCAATGAAAATTATACCTGCATTTTTTGCTCTGCAGATGATCTGTAATTTAGGATATCATCAATATAGCACACCCTATCCATTTCTTCCAGCTCAAGAAGAATATCTTTACTGACAACCTAGGTAGAACATTTTGCAAAAATATGAATAAACATTGTAGAACATTTTGCAAAAATATGAATAAACAAATGCATAAGTCCTTAACTAATAATCAAGCATCAATTCTGAAGATCAAACATGGGGAAAATCATTATGGCCAAATTGTAGCCCATGATAACTTCAACTTTTCACTGTAAAAAAAAAATAATAATAATAAAAAAAAGCTTACAAATTTTATGGAGATAGAGGAATTTCTTCCATGATAATAACATATATGAAAGATTACAAATTTGTATCTAAAGGGTGTCAGTGTTTCCTTGCCCAAGTAAGGGATACAAATAAGGAAGTTAAAGATTTGAAAGATATACTTATAGTCAAAGAATATCTAGAGGTGTTTCTGGATGATTCATCAGGATTACCACAAGAAAGAGAGATAGATTTCACTATTGATTTGTTATCAAGTTCAAAACTAATGGCAAGGGCACCCAACAGAATGGCAGTTAACGAATTGCATGAGCTAAAAAGCCAACTACAGGAATTGTTAGATAAAGGGTTTATCAAGCTAAGTTCCTCACCATGGGGAGCTCTAGTATTGTTTGTAAAGAAGAAAAATGGGAGCTTCAGAATGTGCATACTACATAGATTACAGGGAATTGAATAAGCTTACTGTTAAAAACAAATATCCATTATCCAGAATTGATGATCAATTTGATCAACCGGAGGGAGCTACTATTTTCTCTAAAATTGATTTGCGTTATGGGTATCATAAGCTACACATTAAGGAGGAAGATATAGCTAAAAGTGCTTTCAAAATTACACATGGTCATTATGAGTTTGTAGTAATGTCATTTGGAGTAACAAATGCACCTGTTGTATTTATGGACTTGATGAATAGAATTTTCAAACCATTTATACACATTTTTTTGATTTTGTTTATATATGATATCTTGAATTATTGAAGGGATGAAGAAAGTCATTCCAATCATTTGCATGCAGTATTGCAAACACTTAAGAAGAACAAATTATATGTCAAATTTTCAAAGTGTAAATTTTGGTTGAGCATTGTAAACTTTCTTGAGCATGTGATTAGTGGTGAACGCATTTCAGTTGATCAAAATAAAATCCAAGCCATTGCTGAGTGAACAAGGCCAACAACAGTTTCAAAAATGAGAAGTTTTCTGAGTATTGCTGGTTATTATAGGAGATTCATAGAATGATTCTCTTAGATTGCAATGTCATTATCTAGATTAACTCAAAAGGCAGTAAAATTTGAATGGAATGATCAATGTGAAAGAGCTTTTCAAAAGTTGAAGAATTGTTTAATGATTGTTCCAATTTTAATAATTTCATAAGGTTCAAAAGGATTCCAAATTTTTTATGATGCTTCATTGAGGGGGGCTTGGATGTGTATTAATGCAGCATGGTAGAGTAGTGGCATATACTTCAAGTTAATTGAAAGTTCATGAAAGAAACTATCACACTCATGTTTGAAATTAGCAGCTATGATTTTTGCACTCTAAATATGGTGACATTAACTATATGAAGTCAGAAGTGAAGTGTTTACAAATCATAAGTCTAAAATATATTTTCAATCAAAAAGAGCCTAATTTAGGCAGAGAAGATGGTTAGAACTTATCAAAGATTATAACATGGAGATATAATATCATCCTAGAAAGGAAAATGTAATTGCAGATGCGTTATGCAAAAAGACTCTTGGATGTGCAAATTAGCTAATCATCCAGCATGAATAAATAGTTAGAGATATGAAAAGACTATAGATTATAGTGGTTAATCAGAAATACACTAAAAACATGTTATAAAATCAACTGATGATTCAATCCACTTTAAAGGGTAGAGTATGCAATTCATTGTCTCAAGATGAAAATTTTTAAGAAATTATAAAAAAGAAGTGCAAGCAGGACAATTAGAGAATTTTGTATTCAATGATGAAAGAATGTTAAAGTATAAAGGCATAATCTATATTCCAAATATTGACAATTTAAGGGAAGAAATATTACAGGAAGCTCACCTCTCTGGCTATGAAATTCAACCAAGCAGTACAAAAATGTATCAAGAACTGAGAGATTTATTTTGGTGGCCAGGATTAAAAAAGAGTTGCAAAATTTGTGGCAAATTGTATTCCCTATCAAATGATTAAAGTTGAACATCAAAAGCTAGGTCAACTACAACTATTACTGATACTCGAGTGGAAATGTGAAGAAATTGGAATGAATGGCGAGCTTTCTAATTATAACAGATCGTACGGTATGATGTGGTGATCGTACAATACGATTACTTATATTCAAAAAATAATTTTTCCAGGAAAAATAAAATATTTTAATTTATTTTTGTTACACCAGATCGTACAGTACGATATATATTGTACAGTACAATGAACAGAAAAGTTAAAATATTTATAATCATTTTTTGCTCCCTCTATTTGTGTGCATGATCAACAAACTAACATACAT